TATCACTTTAATTCTCTCTAAATTTACTTATTTAGAGAGAATTGAAGAGAGCTCTGGAAAACAATTTTGTAAGACAATAACTGAAGTGTTGTCTGGACCACAAGCAATAGAAGAGTTTAATTGAAATATGACTTTAGCAACAGAAGCAGGGGTGATTTGAATGTCTAACAATGAGTTAAATCCAACAAATCTAATAACTTAAAGAAATTTGACTGTCTAAGATTTCATTAGTAATAAAAAACAGTACTAAAAAACTAATGTATACTTGTTGTTACTAATTGTATTTACCTTGACAAAAATTTTACTTAGAGTGTATGCAAAAAGGGTCCGAAATCTTAGTGAAATAATCATTATAAATTTTTTTAAACTAAAAAAAGAATATATTTAAAAAATAAAATTTTATATAACAAAATAAAATAAATAATATGTCAATTCAAGTTTATTATTACGTTAAAGAAATAAAAACTTAGTTAAACCTCCAAATGTTAAAATTGTTTTTCGAATAATTTTTAAATTTTAATTCGATTAACAAGCAAAATTATAAAGCCGTAGTAGTTTTATTCTTTTATTTTCCTACCAAATGTTTCAATTAATGTGTGCATAATTTGTTTAATTATTGCTTTGGTTTGGTTTTAAGTATGCTATGTTGGGTACATCCAACATAGCAGACATCCTTTAGACATGCCCCTAAAGTTATGTCTTTTGTGAAATAGGAATTCAGAACTTGAAATACATATTAAAGAAATATTTCAGTCCTTCACAGGAAGATGTGCAATCGCATGTCATTATATGACCAGGCAAATCACATTTTACAATTTGACCGCGGCTATTTCAAAAAACATTTTGAAAATGCGCTAAATGAAAAATATTCTGAATTATACTGTAGGTGAAATAAATTACATCAAAACTTATTAATAAACGTCTTTATATTAGTGAAACGCTTTTAAATAAAGTAACAACTCATTGATAATGATTTTTTAAAAAATATAATTGACAGTTATATATAATTTTTTTTATTTATACTATATAAATTATTCAATTATGCATTTTTTTATAAAAAACGTTATTAAAAAATAAAAAATTATTTTGTTTTTATAAATGATGAATTTCTGCGGCAACCAAAGTCTCTTTGGCGAATTTTAATATAAGAATAACTAATATTAACACTTTTACAAAAATAAACAAATGTTTTAGAAAGCTGTTACAATTAAATAAGTTTGATCTTTTATGCTTTTATATTATCGAAGCCCTTTTTAATGAAGTAACAAAACACTTCTAACGAATTTTTAAATTAGTATTAATAAACTGTTGTTTTTATTATTTATATAATTATGTATTTTTTATGATAAATGTTAATCTGTTAAAACAAATTTAAAAAAAGTATAAATGTTAAACAAAAAAATGTGTAATTATTATTTAGAAAAATGTGTAATTATTATTTAGAAATTATTATAATCTTTTCTTTCACTTGATATGAGCTCTTCCTAAACTTTATTTGTTGTCCAAAGAACACAAAAAAACTAACCTTTTATATAGAAAAAACATTTTTCCACGTTGGTGCTAACATTTTTGCTAAATGAAGGATTAAACCAAATGATGTTGCATGCTCCGCTCCGTTTTCGAGCTGATGTTGCTTTAGGATTATATGTTAGACTACATTTAAAACCAGACTTTAATAAAGCTTCATTATATAGAGGAATAGTATGTTGAAATATTTCTTTGGTAGAAGAATTTGTGGATAATCTAAGTTCAACCGAGTGTGGTATATGTTTTAGTATACTTGGCGGGTGATTTGAATCAGCAAGGATATAATTTAATGTATTATCAGGTTTGAAATAAGGTTCAAAAATGCACTCACTAAGATTTAGAGTAACGTCGAGGTAGTTTACAATTTTCATGTTGCGTTGTATAGAAATCCGTAAACCATTGTATTTAAATATTTCGACAATGTTTTTTCATTTTTTCCATTTGAGGGCCGCTTTTATTACTAAAAACTGCTAAGCCATCATCACGGTATAAACCAACCTCAAACTTGTTATAAAATTTTGAAATTTCAAAAAGATGAAATATTCCTACCAGCTCACAAACTACTGCACTGTCGAAAGATCCCATGGAAACATCAAATAAACCACTTGATTGCTTTATCCAAACCTGATTATTATTGAAAAGCAAAGACTTTCTTGCATGAAAAATTAACAATATATTTGCTTTATTTTGTGTTAATTGTTGCTCTGCAAATTTTAAAGAGTTTTTTAGAAATGTTTCACTAATAGAAGGGTAGAAGTCAATAATATCAAAAATTAAAAATTTATAAAGGTGTTTGTCTTTTATGGCTTTAAACCAATCGATAAAATTTTTTTTATCGATTGTTTGTGAGTGTTTTTCCATTGATTTAATTGTAATATACTAGGTCTGTATTAATTTTAGAAAGAAGATCTTTACTAATTCTACCAACCTCATTTTTAGCAGAATTCAATAAACGGACAGTCGGATTGTTTTC